TTGTGCGAGAACGCAGAAGGGGCTGGAGGGAAAGGAAGCCTTAAATGCTGAGTGTGTATGGGTGTGTATGGGGGCTGGGTGCATGTGTGTGCACTGGCACACTGCTGCCCAGACTTTCCTCTGAATGCAGCCCATGCCTTTGGTAATCCCAGCTACTACTCAGCCTCCCGCACACATCAGCCAACCAGCAAAACACAGCTCCCATTCTGCTCAGGAATGCGCTTTCAGAAATTTAATCTAACTGCTGAGTCTGGGCCAGATCCCCCAGTGGCATTCACCCAAAGACAGCACCCCTTTCTTGCACCCCTACCCGCCTTCTTGCCACCCCAGAGATGCCTCGTCTCCAAGCTTAGGAGGCTGCAGTTCCACTCCACCGACTCCCTCTTCCAGAGCAAGCAGCTCCTCCAAGCCCACCTTCTCAATTTCCAGCACCTCTCCTTTCTAGCCAGGCTCAAACATTGCACTTCTGATTCATTTCAAAGTGACAAGCCAACAGCACTGGGCTTTCAAACAAGGCGCGCATGGCCTCTGCACAAGCCTTCTCTCACTGTGCCTTCTCAGATTGCAACCAAAGCCTCCCCTTTGTTCTCTCTGCCTACCACAGATCCCTTCAGGCACCAGAGAAAGAAGTGACCAGGAATTTTTTGGAAACAAAGGCTATACAAAATATCTGAGTAAATATAAAGGTTATAAAAGGTCTCTTCTCACACAGACACACCTTGAAGCAGGAGGAGGCTCCCAAATCAATCTTCTACTCTCCTTTCTCCAAACAATAAAATGTTCAGCCTGCCTTCTAATTAGGCCAAATAAATGGTTATGGAATTAAGTTTTAAGTCTCCTAGACACGTGCTGACCATTTGCAGATGAAATCTCCCTCCTAAATGAACAACGTTACTCTTTAGAGGCACAGACTTTGTAAAAGGCACCTTTTCCTGTAATAACTACTGGAATACTTTTGTTACTGGAAGTGTCCTATTGCCCAGCGACAGTAAAGGGGTTTGCTGCATAATGGTAAAGCCACTGAGGGGACGTTCAGGGACCGTTAGTAATTCCGGTCACGCTCTGATGGGGGCTGGGAGGACAGCTTAACTGGGGAGGGGCGTGAGGTGACATACCGGAGTGATGGTTACACAGGAGCACACGCGTGGAAAACGCCCCAGGCTGTTCCCTTAAGAAGAGTACACGTTGGGAACCAGTAGTTAGCGTAATGGCTATGTTGCTGGATTCCCACGTAGTCGACCGCGGTTCGTGTCTCAGACCCGGTGGCTTAAAACTCACGCCGAGTGCATGTGCGTGCGTGCCCAAGATCCCGAGAGGAGAATGGAGGAGAAGGGATTGTGGCGTGACCGTCCCCCCTGGGGGGTGATTTCTCGCTTTCTGTCTCTATGTCTCTCTCTGTCTGTCTGGCGAGCGCACATGCCCTATAGCGAAAACCTCTCAAAAAAAATAAATAAATAAAAAGAAGCGTACAGGTTAAAGTGCACTTTGCTGTATGCATGTTCTACTCAATACAAGGTATATTATGGGCACATGGACAATGGAAATGTCACCATACCATGGCAAAGCAGAGAGAGTAAGACTAGAAACTGTATGTTCAGCAGTGTCATTAGAACAATGAAAAAATATGGGCACAGACAGAGAGTGGAAGGGGATACTCCAAACTAATAATGATGGGTGTATGAAGAAGGCCTTTGCTCTACATATTCTCTCATTTCTGCGTGTGTGTCTGATATATCCTCAGCTCTCCACAATGAGATTATAACTATAATTGAAAAATACGAAAGCAGAGATAGGATCTCTCATTTCTGCGTGTGTGTCTGATATATTCTCAGGTCTCCACAATGAGATTATAATTATAATTGAAAAATACGAAAGCAGAGATAGGAAGTGTACGATGATAGGATCGCTCTGACCACAGCCCTTCATAGTGAGATGAGAGGACCTCTCCCCACCCTTTGTCCTCTTCACTCAAGCTTCCCTCACACGTACACACACACACATGCACACACATACACACACTCATATACACCACACACACACACACACACTCATATACACCACATGCACACACTCGTATACACCACACACACATACACACACTCGTATACACCACATGCACACGCACACACTCGTATACACCACACACACATACACACACTTGTATACATACACACATACACACACTCGTATACACCACACACACATACACACACTCGTATACACCACACACACATACACACACTCGTATACACCACATGCACACACACACTCATATACACCACACACATACACACACTCGTATACACCAAATGCACACGCACACACTCGTATACACCACACACACATACACACACTCGTATACATACACACATACACTCGTATACACCACATGCACACACACACACTCATACACCACACACACATACACACACTCGTATACATACACACACATATGCACACTCGTATACACCACACATATGTGCACACACACACTCGTATACACCACACACACATACACACCCACACACACACCCATATACACTACACACAAATGCACCCACACAAGCCAACTGGAGGGAAGGGCCAGCTTGTCACCCAGGCCTGTCTCCCTCACCAAGCATCAGTCTGCTTCCCAGAGGCCTGGTACTCAGATCCACTGGGTGCTCCTTCTGCCCTAAGGAGGAGTGGCTTCCACTGTGTAGGGAGCTCTGGGGTGCAGCCCAGGTCAGCCCAGTCCTTAGGTAGTGAGCTGAGCCATGCTCTACCTTCCCCCTTGAGAAAGGAGCAGGGTTGCTAGGCAATTTCCAAGAAATCAGAAATTCTGGTGGTCGCCTCCTTCCACCATCCTATGGGAGGGTGCCTGGGGTCCAGAGGGCAGGAGGACCTTCATGCCCTTGCTTTTCTCCTTGCCCATCTCTCACTAGTCTCCTCCCGGGATTCATACCTTGCACCCCCAGGGACCCAGCTGACTGACAGAGAGGCTTTCCAGAAGTTTGTCTCTTCAGGATGATACAGGACAGAGGACTGACAACCTCCTGGAACCACATCATCCATGAGGGTGATGATGATGGTGACATGGAAGCCCAAAGCAGGGGATCAGGGATAATGGGGGACCACTAAGTCATGAGGAAACAAGTCCTGGAGATCTCAAAGTTTAGACCTAAATGCTGTTAAAAAACTCAGCAAACTTCGCTATTTCCTACACTTAAGACTCCAGGAAAGGGGCCATATGGTAGGTGATTTTTTCTTTTCTTTAAAAGAAAGAATTGTTTATTTAATTTTATCTATCACTGTTATTATTTTTTAATTTGCCACGGGTCATGGATGCTCACCAGAGAGAAAGAGAGAAAGTGAGAAAGCAAGTCACCAAGTGTGGGACTCAAACCATGGTCAGCCAGGTGGGAGTCTAACACCTTAGCCGCCATGCCAACTGGAGGCAGTCCTTTCTATTCCTGGCTGTAGGCTTAGCACATAAGAAAGGATGTTGGGGCTGTCCTGCAGCCTTCAGTAGGGCATTCAGTCAGTCAGTGTCATGAGTTCAGACAGAGGGCAGAAAATCAGGTAATATATGTATCGTGTCTGGGATATTTCAGGAGTATCCACATATGGAGGGTACTTTGTCAGGTCACCCACGTCCATCTAGCCTGATATAGCAGGGCTTAGCAGGACAGAAACAGTGGCAGAAATACCTGTTCTGGAGAAGACTTCTCTTCTAGCTGTGACTGTGTTAAGTGACTTGGTCCTTCCTTTGCTGTGTGGGAGCCTTATAAAATACACTTAAGTAATTTTGAGAAAACAAGGCTTCACATTCACAAGCATAAAAGAGTAAAAGTCGTCATGAGGACAATGAAGTTCACCAGGATGATTTGGTCGGCAGAGACCTTGGAAGCCATTTGGTTCTTGGTTTCCATATGCTAGCCTGAGGACTTCCATGGTTTGTAACGTAGTAACCAGAGAAAGAGATCCAAGATAATGCTGACTCGGCATCACAAATAGAAAGTCTATGAACGTAATCTTTTTTTAGAGGTCTTGCCATAAGGTGCATGTGCTTGCCAGAGAGAGACAGAGACAGTAAGAGGGAAAGTGAGAGATTGTGTCCTACAGGGGATGGCCACTCCATGACCCCTTTTCCTCCACTCTCCTCCTGGGATCTTCGGGATGTATGTACACGTGCCCCGTGTGATTTTCAAGCCACCAGGTTCGGGACTCAAACCATGGCCGACCATGTGGGAGTCCAGTGACGTAACCACTATGCCATCTGCTGGCCCCTGAACATAATGATTTTAGAAAATTATCTTACACTGAGCACAACCACAAAATGAAAAAAAAAATGGCAAAATCAAATAAATAAATAAATAAATACATAAAAAAGGCAGTGTGAAGTCTCTTAGCATTCTCCTTGGACCTAATGGTCACCACATCTCTTCTTTATTTCTCTCTTCTTTATCCCCTTGTCATCCAGTTCCCCTTTCATTAGGTTCTGTTATTTCTATCCCAAGCATCTGGAATGTTTGTGCCCTGTACAGAGAGACAGGAGGCCATCCTGGGACGGGCAGCTCTGTTCGGACCATACACAGCCCTGATGAACACTCTGGCTGTAACCGCTGGGAGAATGGAGTGAGGGGGAGGGGGTGGGGGTCAGGTGAGCTGTTGGCACAGTGCACCTAAAACCACCAAGTAGGCATGGCACGGGCCAGCTCTGGGGCCCACAGTAACAGCCCAACTGGGTCATAAGTACTGACCAGTTCCCCTCTGTACAGACTCTTCCCCCAGACATGGTTCCGACGCAGAGTGGAGCTTCTCAGGGCACAGTGGCTCACCCCACCCCACACGCACTGGGGAGTACGGAGAACTGCCGACTATGCTGCTTGGCACCTTCGGCAGTTAAGGTCCTTTTCACGGTACAGATGATGACAGGTGTTTGGAGTGTGGGGGAGAGAAAGAATGGGAGAGAGAAGGAAGGACTGCACCACGGCAGAGAGGCGAAGGAGCAGACTCACTGGCTAGCGTCACGGTGGCTGGCACGCTGGCCACAGCCCCCGCAGGCATCCGGGCCACACACTGGTACCGCCCCACAGTGTGGTTGTTGAGGGCAGTGATGACGAGGGTCCCGCGGGTGATGAGGACGCCCAGAGCATCATCTGAGCCATTCAGCTCCTTTCCGTTCAGGCGCCAGGTTACGTTCATCCACGTGGGTTCAACCACACAGCCCAGGATCACGGTGCCCCCCAGCTTCTGGACGGTGGACACAGGCTGGACGGTGACCTGCGGGACCGCGTCTAGAGGAAGAACAGGGATGAAGCAGTGAACCGATGCCCCGAACAAATCAACAACATCACCATTGTGGAAGCACGGCACCCAGGCAGCCTTCCAGGAGTGAGCTCCCAGAAGAGCCCGTTGTTCTCTGAGTTAACTCTACTGCCCTGTCCATTCCCCAACTGTCTTTGTTTCCAGAAAGTACATGTGAAGTGACCGTGTGCTGTTAAGGCCAGAGCTTGTGTTTGGGAGTTGGACAGACCTGGGTCTGGATCCCAGTGCCACCACTCCTGAGCCAAGTGACTCGCGCCTTTCTGAGTCTCAGCTTCTTATCTGTAAAATCAGGCTAATAATTCTCGTCTCACAGGGTTGTTAGGAGGCTTCCAGATAATGCATGCCAATTGCCTGCCATCATCTCTGATGATAAATGTACAATAAAAGGCAGTTATAATTATTATCACTACCCCTCCTCTGCTAGTATATATTTGCAGTGAGTGACCAAGAAAAAATAACAGCACGATGTTGTGATCACCTCTCAGCTTGTACGCATCCCTGGGGGCCCCCGGGAATGAAGCGTGCTTTGAGGTCCAGGAAGACGAAGGCCCTCTCTAAGAGTTACAGCAGAGAGCTTCATGCTTCCCTTTGAGACTCGGGGCCGAGTTCTTCCGAGTGGGGTGACTGAAAAGGGAGGAAAAGTACTCACTCAAGTCAGCAAAGCAGCTTGCTGTGGCCAAGAGGAGGCAAGCGAGTGTGACCTCAGGCCTCTTTCCCCTCTGAGTCCTCATCATCCCACGCAGCATGGTGTGTCACAGAGGGTCCAAAGCCAACGTCCCATAAGCACCGGGGGTCACTTAAAGAGATACTTTGGCAACAATCGCCTGCAGCAGTCTGTGAGAGAGAGAGAGAGAAATGGCCATGGTGAGAACACCTGGGATGCCCCCAACGTAGCCACAGCAGCCCCTGCTCCATCACACATGGCAACAAGCCAGGCGGAGGGCTACCTAGTTGTGCCGTTGCAAAGAACACTCTGATGCCTTCTCACCTTGAAGAACTTTCTTATATTAATAATTTGTTCCCTAAGAGAAGCTTTTTAAAATCTGCTCCCTTGAGCTCTCTGAGTTAGAATGTGATTTTATGGCGGGTGCGGATGACTGTGAGACAGCACTGCCCTGCGTGTAATGCAACCTGCATGACATCTCGCTTTTAGAGGATGTCACTAATTAGTCTGAAAGTCTCCGTGACTCCTGAAAGATGTCCTGCTTCGGTTCTCTTCGTCCCAGCTCTACCCCGATATTCCTGTGAACTCTCTGTTTATTCCTAGAAGCAGCCACTCTCCTCAGCTTGGCTATTGCTGGTCCATCTCCAAGCACAAACACAGCCAAGGCCCTTCACCTCCTTGGGACATACACCCTTACTTCTGCTTCACGTGCAAGCCTCTGCTTCTCTGCCCCTGGTGCTAGAATTCTGGAGTTGCCCATCTTTACAAAGCAACTGGTGACTGCTTGGGTGGCACGTCCACCCAGACCTACATTCCTTTGGAGCACCAGAACACACTGCACCTCCAGTTGGCTGACCACACGTCTCAGCCCTCAGGCACCCTCTTAACACCGGCCTAGAACCTTACCTTCTCCTTTACCCGGCCTTATTCCCTGTACCTCCCTTAAGACATGGTCCTTAAAAGGTTCATCAAAGTCACATAAGGAAGTGTGTATTTTAACACGTGCGCACATACACACGTGTCACAGCCAAAACCAAAATTTTGCCTCTATGCTTTTCACTGATGTGTTTACAGGATATTAGCAAATGAGGAAGTATACCAACCCACTGACAAGGCAAGGAAGCATTAGAACACACTCTGATAACTCTGAAGGCAACATTTCAACCATCTGGCCAGTGGATGAATCCTCCCGTATATGAGCCTGTATAATGGCATATTTCTAAGAGTGTGAAAAACATTCAAAATGTTGATTCTTCTAGACCAATTTATCTCACTAGAGACTGACAGCCACGATTGAAAAATAAAGGAAGGGGACCAGCAGGAAGTGTGGTGGTTAAGGCACTGGACACTTCAACATGGCTGACTATGGTTCGAGTCCTGGACCTGCTGACTTGCTTTCTCACTTCTGTGTGTGTGTGTGTGTGTGTGTGTGTGTGTGTGTGGTCAAAATAAAATCTAAATGAATGAATTAATTAATTTAATTAATTCTTAAAAAAAAAAAAGAAAAACAAGAGGAATCAGGTAAGCTTCCCAACAGAGAATTGCTGTCCCATTTTTGCCTTTTATTGCTTTGTATGTTTCTCCAGTTTCTGGAGTTCTTGTTGCCTGCATGGTCTGTTGTAAGAGATGGTCTTGAACTTTTTCGACTCCTTGCAGTCCTGACAGAAAAGACTAAAGGCTGTGGCGCGGGGCGCTTGCTCTGTACTAGGAAGTGCAGAGTTCTTTCTGCACTGGCTTCTGCCTCATCTTTCCATTCACCCAGGTTCCGTGGCTCCTGGGCTCTCACCTGGCTGTGCAGGGCGTAAAAGGGTCACACCTGCTCTGCCCACCAAGCACCCCTCTGAACCAGATCCAGGCCCCCAGCCCTGCAGTGATGTTCAGAGTGTTTTCCAAGAAAGAGTTCTTGCCCCATTATTATCTTTTTTTTATTATTATTATTATTATTATTATTATTATTATTATCTTTATTCCCTCCCCTGGCCTTACGGCTTCAACATGAGGAGGACCTGCAAGATTCCATAGCTGCTCCTAGAATGGGTGAGTGCAAGTCTTCTAAAAAGAGTTTGAAAGAAAAACTTAAAACAAGCTTTTCAAAGATTCTTCCCTGGCAAGTGAAAATAATTTCCTATTGATGTAGAGAGCATTTTTTTTTTCTTTTTCAGGCAACCTGGGAAATCAAAGGGTTGAGATTTCAGTAAAGTGAAGTCATGAGTCCTGCAGAGATGCACGTGTGAGGGAATGGCTGTTGGGGCAGGAGAGGCGGGCGTGCCTGCTGGTGCAGGTGCCTGCCCTTTCTCTGCACAAGGCATCTCTTTACTGCCACCCTGCAAGGTGGGGGTACTGTCACCATTTTATTTTGCAGAGGAGGAAACAGCTCTAGGGACTAAGGAACTTGCCCAAGGCCAGGACTGAAACCCAGGCTGGGCTATTTCCAAAGCTCTGCGCTTCTCACCACAATGCAGTCTACTACAGTAGCCTCCTCTTGTTTCTCTTAAGGCTCTGAATCCAGTGGTTGTTCAACAGAGCTTGGATAAGGGTGGTGTGAAACAGTGGGAAATTTCGGAGGAAAAGTTCATGCCAAAAAGCAAGCTCTTCGTATCCTCTCAATTTTCCAAACACTTGTTTTAATTCCATAATCTTTTTATCCCCAGTGATAGTGCCTTCCTACAGAACACTGTATGAATCCCTAATTATGGGATGTTAGGAACTGAGCTTGTTCATGACGTGTCTGTTTCTCCAACTTCTTTAGAAGACTGATGGCACCTGTTCCTTTTCTATCAGAAGGAGGAAGAAGGGATGAAAGGAAGGCAGGGAAAAAAGGAGTAAAAGAAGTAGGGAGGAAGGGAAAAAGTAAATGAAAAAAAAAAAAGCTGTAGATGGCAAAAAGAGGAGACTGTAGACAAAGAGTGGGGTGGGGGCTGTTTCTTATCTGAGCACAGGGAGGTTGCAGAGGTGTTTGGGTTGTAAAACCCACAAAAGTTTTACTGAGGAAATTCAGCCCAGACCCCCTCCAGCTTAACGAGGACCAGCCGAACAATGGCTGTTACTTCTGCACCCTTGGTAATTTATAAGGTTCAAAATGGAAACAGATCCCACTGCTGCTGCCAGCCACACAGCTTTAAAAAGTAACTGGAGAAAAGAATGCAGCTAGGAAATGAGGGGGTGAGAGGAAACAGGTAACCAAAGAGGGGGAGGGAGTTAACTCAGGACCCCCACAACAGAGTTGGCAGCAAGTACCATTTTAATGACCCCAAAGCAGGACACATGGGGGTCTCACGCACGGAAAGGGAGAATTGTGAGCAAAACCAAAACTTGCGTGCTGGGTGAGCGGGAGGGAGCGCCAGAGCCCCAAGGCGTCTTATTCAGCAGCTGGGAAAACTGAGCTACTTTCTGGACCAAGGTACCTGGTGAGTGGTCTGGAAAGATAACAATTCCAAAGATTTGGGTATGTGAGAACTTTGTTTTCATGTGTGTTTTTGTTTGTTTGGTTTGGTTTGGTTTTTGTTTTATTGCTTTTTTAAAAGTAGCAAGTAAGGCTTAAGTTGGAGTGAAGATCCCAACTGCAGTGTAACTGTCCTGCTGTCCCACTGGGACAAGGGACCGTCTCGCAGTTGGCTAAAGGCAGCAAGGAAGGCTGGTTATTTTCCTGGGTAATCCAAAGTACGTCTAAAGCCTTATTAGTTTTTATGCATTTTCTCAGAAAAAGAACGGAAGCCAAGAAAAAAGCCAAGGCAGAGAGAAGAGAAAATGAATTGTTGAATTCCTCCCTGAGGAATTCCTCCTTGAGGCCTAGGTACTTGCTATTTTAAAGTGTAACTTGGACATGAAGAAGAAAAGATGTGTCTGAGAATTTAAATGCTGACATACATGTTCCTTACTGAAATAATCTCCAAACAGATGTTTTTTAAACTTTCCAACAACAACAACAACAAAACACACTTCTGAGGTTGAGACCAAGCATGAGAAATTACAGCCTCACTCTATTTATTTTTCGAGAAAGTTACGAACAACAGAGAGTTGATCATCAGGAAGAGGCCAACTCCACCTTCTCCCAGGAGGGCTGGCTGGCTGCCTGACTAGACCAACAATGAGAGGACACTACTCAAGTCCCCCCCATCACCCCCCATTTCAGCCTCAGGACACCCATGTCACCCTGGCCATCTCTGAAAGGGAAGTCTCTATGATCTAAAACACAAAACATGGCCTTTCGATGTCCCCAGGCCAATAGCGAAGATGAGCTTATAGGAGAAATGTGATCTAGCAGACAAGAGAAAGAGACATTCTGAAAAACATTGTAGAGGACTAGCCCTGTGGTTTAGTGGTTAAGGGAGCCAGATCTTACGTAGCCAATTGCTATTCGAATCTCAGTTCTGGAACTGAAAAACTGCCAGGCATACGTGTGTGTGAGCCTCAAATACAAACAGGATGAAGAAATGCAGGAGAAGGGATTGTGGCCTGACCATGCTCCATTAGATGGCTTCCTCCTCTCCCTCTTTCTCTCTCTCTCTCTGGAGAATAAAGATGCTTTCTGGCAATGAACTAAATAAATAATGCATTGAAAGTTAAAAAGAAATTAATGGTGAGAATGAAATCTGATAAAGTCTTGTGTTCCATTGGTTGAATGGGGCTAGTTACATGAAAAAAGTATTTCTGTTCCAAGTTACTTATTTTTTTCATGTTCTCAATTGCAGAGTAAGATTCACCTTTTTCTAATTATCTTTATTTATTTTAGTTTTTGCCATAGGATATGTGTGTTCACCTGAGAGAGAGAGAGAGAGAACAAGAAAGTTAAAATTCATCCCTAAGGGGGGATGGCTACACCACAATCCCTTCTTGAACTCCATTCTCCTCTCAGGATTTTGGGCACATACGCACAAGTACCTGGTGTGTTTTTCAAGCTGCTGGGTCTGGGTCCAGGATTTGAACCACTCAGTTGACCATGTGGGATCCAGCTGCCTTAACTACCATGCTACGGGCTGGCCTCCATTATCTTTAAAGGAAGAGAAAAGTTTTGCTCCTACACATGACACCAAGTAGTAGGATACAAATGTTCACAGACCCTGTGTCAAGAAAGAGGATGAGACTCTTGCATAGGAGAGTGGCATTGGGGGAAATATTTGGGAAATAAGTGCATTTAATTATTAGACAGATGGCTATGTAAGCTTACTGA